TGAATCCGAGTCCTTGCCCTCCACAGAGATGGACCTATTGAAGAATTTTTTACAAGACATGCAAGGGGGAAAATAACTCCACCTTTTTGCCCTCGATGGCACCTCTCTGGCCACCCACCCTGGCATCTACTGCCCGCCACCCGCCAGGTGAGAAATTCATCCTTTTCAGTTCCCTGGATCACGGCCCTCTGACCCTTTCAAAGAGCCGAGGAGAGATGATGATGGATGGCAAGCTTGGGGAGAGGAGTGGATCGCCGTGGCTTCTATGTTATTTAAGTTCTGAAATAGCCAGGTCGAGATATTTTGCTGCTTGAGGCTTAAAACAAAATGGATTCTCTCCCGCCCCACCCCACCGCACAAATTTCGTCTATAGAAATCAACTAGATGAGGGGGAGATTTAATAAAATAATATCCTCCAGGTGGTGGATCGATGCCTCTGGGGACCTATAACCGTCTAGTGTCAAAGACGAGACATCAGGATCTCTGCTTCTTGACATTTATAAGACCCCTTCAGATGGAAATCTGTGCAAATTTATGCATTCGTTTATGTCTTTGTTTTATTCATAGGACACCTTTCTCCCAATAAAGGGGACCCAGGGGGGCTAAACGTGAGAATAATTTACACACAGACACACACGCACAATAGTAAATAGCTCTCAAAGCCCCTGGATGGATAAATCAGTTTTGACTTCTCCTGAAATTAACATAATACCCAATTTATTAAAAGCAGCTCCACTACAATCTCACTTGACACTAAGTGCCACTAGGCGGCCCAAGACTTTTTGCCGCCTGAGGCCAAGGACAAAATGCTTCCCTCATTCCATGGACATAAAAGCCAGCTAAAATGACGGATCCTAAAGCTTATCCTCACAAGAACTTGTAAGTAACAGGCTACACAGGAATAGTTACTTGTAACTGTTTTATATTTTGTGGTAAGTTAGAAACCAGGGTTCGAATCCATTAGTGAGCTATGAAAATCACCGGCTGATTGTGGGCCCAGTTATTCTATCTGCCTGAATACGTGACAAGGTTGTTCTGGTGAGGATAAAACAGGGAGAAAGGAGAACAGTATATCGGACTGTCCTACCTCGCAGGGTCGTTAAGTTGAAACGGAGAGGAGGAACGCCATCTTGGCTACCTTGAGCTTGTTGGAGGAGAAGTGGGTTGTCAAACCCCAAGCCGACAAATGTCCAGGGACTACGCTGCTGATGGGGGATGATGGGAACCTTACTCCCACACTTTCCGTCCCCAGCTAGGTGGGGGAAGGCTGATCTGCCTATATATGAACCATACGTCTCAATCTTTTGCATAGGCAACAGAATCTATGCCTCGTGGTCCAGAAAAGTTGATAAGTCAGTTTGTTGGAAAAGTTCCAAAAATCCATTCATTTTTAGACCTTTTCTCTTTCGACAGCCGGCGTGCTGGCTGGAGGCTTCTTTCAGTTTTCTCCCCCTTCCACTACTCCCTGTAAAGGGACCTCTTTCCCCTATTTATTCCATCGGGCCAGGTTAATTTACTGTTTTGACCTAGAGGCAAAAAAATCCACTCAGCCTGAAGCAGTCACAAATCCTGCCTCTATCGCTCCCCAATACATCCTGCTTGGATGTCAAAATAACAGGTCCCTGTAGCTCACCAAAGCAAGGGAGGGAATCCAGAGGGGCCTCGGGTAGGTTTATGCCTAGTGAGCAGGAGATGAGGATGTACGCTGAAATCCTGACACCTTGTTTTGATCTACATTTTCAATCTATTTGTTTGCTTTCCTACTAGGGCTCCTACCTTTAAGCCACATTTTTGAAACTTCGGCTGCTTCTTCTTGAGCATTCCTTGGAATTTTATAGCATCTGTGCCTGCAGGCGAAGAGTCCTGTGGATCTCAAAAGCTTGGTTCCATCAGATTTAAATAAAACAACACACATACATTTGGAAAGGGTTTTTAATCGATTTTGAAAAGGTGCCTACATGATGCACATGGAAGCACAGAGTGTTTCTACGGAACACGAGGCAAAATACTCTTCCGCCAGAGGGGCGTTTATCTGAACTCGGATGTCAGATTGATTTGTTTGGAACCGTTTTCGGCATGCATGAATGCCTCTGTTGGTCTAAAATTGTGTGGGTTTGTCTCCCTCTTAGCTAATATACAACACAGCTTAAAATGGATTAAAGGTTTTCCCAAGGGGATGCCCACACCAACCCAGATTCTATGTGACTACCACGTGACTTTAACCCAATTTCAAAAAAACCCAATCCGTTTCACCATTTATTTTCATAATGTAACCACACTCTTAGAGGGTAACTTCTCTAAGATCCCAGAAAGGGATTATCCAACCCAGGCCAGAGGGAATGTGAAGGTACAGATCAACTGGGGTCAACATCCGTGCTATTTTAAATCATCATCATCATCTCAGCATTGCAGAGCTGGAAGGGACCCTATGGATCATGGAGTTGAGCCAGTGTCAAGGAGGCCTAGCGGGGAATCGAACCACCGGACCCCTGCCACCACAGTCAGCTGCCTACACCACTGAGCGATGGCTTGCTTGCCATTTGTTGGATGGTTTGAAACATTCTCTGGAGTTTGGCCTTGGTGAAACACAGCCCGGCTTCACCTTGAGTGTAGCAAGCAAAAGGGAGATTTGAAATCTCGCATTGCTTTCGATCCTTCGCCCCGCAAAGGGACTGCTGCAGAACACAGTGTGTGTTTGTGTGTGTCCGAGAGACCCAGAGAGAGCCGCCCGGAGGGAAAGAGGTGGGGAAGAGATGTGGCAAAGATATGCTGGGCGCATGGTTTCCTCTCAGCGCCCTCCTGTGTGGCAAGAGTGCGAGATCAATGCTGGCTCTGTGGAGCAAAAGTGTGCGGCAGGAAGGGGGTGGAGGATGTGTGGGAAGGCGTGGGGGGGTGGAGAAAGGGGGCCTGTCCCTCTCTCTCTCTCTCCCTCTCTCTCTGAGAGGCACCCTGCTTCCTGCAGGGATGCTTACAAAGAACACACAACCACACTAGAGGCATGAAACAGCTGCCGGCCGTGCCGAAATCGACGGGACCTTATGGATCCCTTACCTGCAACCCTCTCTGAGCGGTCCAGCAACTGGGACGCACGGCTGCTTCGGAGTCTGCCGAATTTCCGCGGATTTGCCGGGATCCCGTCCGAACCGCCCCAGATTCGTGGTTCGGCACTCTGAACCCCAGGCCTGGGGGGGCCGATCCCATCACGACGCACCGCCCGATTCCTGCCTGCGCCAAGAGGAAAGGGGGAAAATTTAGAATATTTACATTGTCATCGGCTTTGGTCGCTATTTGGAGCGGCCCTTTGGGTCCTCTCTGGTCCGGCTTTTTTGGGGGGGAGGATGCGTCACCGCTTAAACATGCTCCCTCTTATGCTCTCGATGATGCCACTGATTCTAGGCTTTCGTGACATGGCTCTGGCGCTCTCGACGTGCCAGACGTTGGACCTGGAGGTGGCGCGGGCTCGAAGGGTCCAGGCGTTGCGCGGACAGATCCTCAGCAAGCTGCAGCTGGTGACGCCGCCCGAGCAGGACGAAGGGGTCCCCACGCAGCCACCGGCGGAGGTGATGCTGCTATACAACAGCACACAGGAGCTGTCCCAGGGACGGGCCGCCTGTGGTGGACGCAGCCCTGGGAGAAGTGAGGAAGAGGAGTACTACGCCAAGGAAGTGTGCCGTGTGGATCTGTCACCCCCTGGCCAGGCTGACAGTAAGGGCACGAAAAGGGGTAGGGGAAGGGTGGGAGAAAGGGGGGGGGGAAAGTCATATCAGGTGATAGAACGCTGAATATATTAGAAGAACTTAGAAAAGACAGAGAATAAATCAGCCAAAAAGTAGTAGGTTGTTTTGGATCCAATCTAACTAAATGGAACCTTTGTGTTCAGGAGCAGTATACCAGCTTAGGGGTGGGGGTGGGTCAGACTAGATGACCTTTAGGATCTCCTCCAGCTCTACAGTTCTGTGGCCCACAGCAGATGAACAGCTTGCCTTCCTGCCTGATTTGGAGGCTTCCTGAGGACTTTTGGCTGGCCACAACTGGAAACATGAGACTGGGGAAGGTGGGTCTTCTGAACCAGCCCAGCTGAGCCCTACTTAAGTACTGTACTTAGAAAGCGACCCTGGAAAAGAAGCCTTATAGAACCATACCTGCAAGGGAAAACAGCTGAGATAAAATATATACAAATGCTGGGGATCCATTTGAAAGGGTTAAATACTAGTCAAGGGTTCTTAAGCCACTACCTAATGTGAAATATCCCCTTGACTCACACAAGTTGAAACTTGCCTGTATTGTACTAAACAACCATTGTCACTCTGCCCATTATTTGTATTGCCTCCTGGATATGGAGTCATGTATAAATAATAATATATAATCTCACTCTAAAGTCTGAGGTCAGGGACTTGAGCCACAAAAGCTCGGATGAAAACATAGCAATTCATCTTTAAGGTACCACAATGCATTGGGCTCTTTTTTTAAAAAATTTTTTTGCTTGTCCAATGTGAATAAAACTATGCCACACTTATGACTGACGGGCAGCCTGTGTATCAAAGCTAAGTGCTTGGACTACAACTCCCAGAATCCCCATATAAAGGAAGTTTTTCAGGCTTTGAAAACCAGGGCCATTTCCCTATGGCTCTTATTAATAATCCTCGTCTAAAGAAATTTGTTGACTCTCTGGTTTCTCCTCCTTGGGCGCAGATTCGATCCTCACCCCCCACGCCAGCCCTTTCTTCCGCCTTCTGCGTTTTGATGTCTCCAGTGCTGAGCCAAATCTTAGCAGCCTCATCCGCGCTGAGCTGAGGATCTACAGAGTTCCTAACCCCCGGGCACGAGCCTCAGAGCAGCGTGTGGAGTTGTATCAGGTTCGTTTTTCCAAAATCTCCATTTGCTCATCGGCAAATAAGGGCTAGATGGGCTGATATTCCTATTAAGGGTCCAATTGCACATGAAGGGAAATGTGCATTTCTTCCTATTACACAAAGTTTTCCCCTCCAGAGACCCAATTCCTTCAAAGCTCAGTGACGGAGCAACCAGGTTTTCAAATGGGCCCCATGTTTGCCTGCTGAGAATCAATCACAAAACAAGAGCAAACTATTTTGGAAGATGGAGACGTGGGGAAAACTCATCCGAGGATAAACCAGACATTTTTCGTCTCTTAAGGATGCACTGCTTCTAGTTACGTATTAACCCTCTTGTTTAATTTAATTCCTGGGATCAGCCTTTGTGTGATGCGGTTAGTTAAAAAAATACTTCTAGTTCCCCCATTTTATAAGTGGAGCAAATCCTCTGATATTTGACCATGTAATCACAGCTTATCTTAAGTATCAACAAAGACCCATTTTTAAAAAGCTTTGTTCAGCTTCAAATGGATTCGCTTGTATTTCAGTATTTACAGTGCCTATGTTGTTGCTGAACTTTTAAAAGGTACCTTGTATTTGGCTTCGCTTCGGCTTTGCAAACTATGGTAGTTAGCATATTGGATAAGGTAAGGCAGAATCTCACAGACTTTGGAACTCCCTCCCACTGGAGGCCAGCCTGGGCCCCCCACCTTTGTTGGCCCTTCCACAAGCAAGCGAAGACCTTTCTCTCCAAGCAGGCTTTCCCTGAGTCATTGGCTGCCGGAGCAGGGTTTTTAAACCAATTATTGTGCCTTACTGCTTTGACTGCGATCTTGATCTTTTTGTTTACTGTGTTTAATGTGGTCTTTGACCCTTTTAAGGATTGGTATACTCAATGTTTTTAGCTTGAAAATATTGTCTTGTCGTGATGCAAGCCACCTTTTAAGGAGAAAGTTGGGGTAAATAATATTTTAAAGCAGTCCCCCAAACAAAAAAACCCACATCTCTCCAGGTGGTTCGGGCAAGGGATCCGCAGTCCCCCAAACAAACAAAAAATCTCTCCAGGTGGTTCGGGCAAGGGATCCTTCTGCGCCAACTCAGCGCTACCTGGAGAGCCAGATGCTACGCCCAACGGGCCGGGCTGAGTGGGTCTCCTTTGATGTCACCGGCACCATCAGCCAGTGGCTGGAGAAAAGAGGTAAGAACCTTCTTTTTTCTTTTAAACCAATTTGCACGGAGTGAAGAGGTTCATTTAGGAACATTTTACGTTCAAGTAATTACCACCTGTCCGGTTTTCAGCAGCGTCGCCTGATGCTTCTGACACCTGTTGAAATGAACAATAAATTTTAGCTATTTCTCCCCTCCTACCTGAACTTTCCTAGTAGCATCTAATAAAACTCTGCCACTTCTGACTACTTCCGGCTCTTGCTTATACAGTATATGGTGTCATTCCATGGCTATGCTCTCCCTTTCTCCTGACTCTGAGATTAGAGCATCAGCCGGAGGTACATAGAAATGAAGCAGATGATGCATTTTCCTGATTCTGAAATCAAAGTTCTGGGAAAAGCATCAGCTGTTCTATGTGGGTCTGTGTGCCGCTGAGAGGCACTCAAATTTATGTGTCCCCCCCTCTTTTTTTGCTGTTATTCAATTTTATTTCTACAAAATATTATTTATTTGGTCGGTTTTATTTTAGAGGTGTTTTTTGTTTTTAAATTGTTTTCAACGTCAGTCATCAAGTACTGTCAAGCCAAGCGCCTTCATTCCTTTTTTTCCCCTAAGAAAGAAACGTCGATCTCAAGTTAGGGGTGCATTGTCCGTGCTGCGCTTACGTGCCTCCGGGGAACACGATTAACCCCAACCACAGCGAGGAGTTGGAAGCGCGATTTGCAGGTATGCGTACAGGAGTGGGGAAGACTTGGGGAATTTGCCACACATCCCCTCCGCCCCTCAGGATCTCAGAAGGTCAAACAACATAAGATTCAGTATTTCCTGTTTTTTACAGTGTTTTCCCTCCAGACACGTCATTACTTCAAACCTCCGTGCCAAAGTCATCAGACTTGCCAATAAAGTCCATGTTTAGCGCTCAGTGACAAACCACAGAGTAAAAAACGCAAGCCAGTTTGTGACAAGTGGAAGAAGACAATTTAATGGCTTTGCCTCTTAGCGGAGCTTAGCTTCTAATGACATGCTGACGGTATTGCTTGCTCTGATCCTGAGCTTCTTTCTCTACTCACCCAGGCCTGGATGATGATCTCATCAAGGAGGCATGGAAGGGGCGGGCTCAGCCCCCAGACCTGAGTGGCAAAACCCCCCACCTGATCCTCACTCTCCTGCCCCCACATCGGCTGGAGCCTCCTCCAAAGGGCCGGCGACGTAGGTCAGCCAACAACCCCACCTGTTCCAGGTGCGGAAACATTATGTTCAAATTATACCTGAATCGTTTGTATGGTATGGATCGAAAGCAATCCCAAAGTCTCCCTTGATCCTTTATGCGCAACTACCTGAACCAATCAGATAGGACTAGATGGACTGATGGTCCCAATAAGAGTTCAATTCCATGTGAAGGAAATGTTCATTTCTTCCTATTACAACATTTGTCCTTCCAGATACGTAGTTCCTTCAAAGCTCAGTGCCTGCGCAGCCCGATTTTCAAAGGAAACCCATGTTTACCCTCTGACAACCAATCGCAAAACAAGAGCAAGCCATTTTGCAAGATGTGGAGGCGAGGAAAGCTCACACTAGGGCATTTGGTTGTCCACTGGGAAGAAAAATTGGGTGTTGGGGTACCTAGAACTAGAACTTCTGGATAGCTCAGTGGTTTAGGTCTCTGGCTGTGAGGGTTCGATTCCCCGCTGGGCCTCCTTGTCAGCGGCTGGACTTGATCCATAGGGTCCTTTCCAGCTGTGGACTTCTAAGGCTGTTGTTGTTGTTGTTGTTGTTATTGTTGTTGTTGTTTGACCCAGCACTGCTTTTCTTATGCTATATCCTAAAATACTGACTCCGCTTCAAAAGAGATTTCCCAAATCCCCCCCCCGCACACCATATACCCCAAATTTTGATCAAATGACTCTCTTGGGAAGGGTGCCTTCTCGGACTACAACTCCCAGGTTGCTCGGCTAAAGAACCCAGCTAGATGGGGGTGATGGGAGATGCAGTCTAAAATATCAAAATGCCCAAGCTGCACGCCAGGTTGTATCTTTGAAATGATAAGAATGAAAATCCTTGCATACCAACCCATACCTGGATGGGCCAGGTCAGAAGAGGAGTGTCTCAAGAGTCCACTTCTTTTTTTTGGCAGTCACGGGGGAAAAGAGCACCAGAAAATAGCACCACCTTCTTGCCCTCAGTCTCTGTGTCTGTAAGTGCCTCCCCCCCGGAAGAAGTGGCACGAATCTGCTCCGTCTTATTTCCCCTTCCTTCCCTTCCTGCTTGTCCCAGGAGCACGGATCAGGGCTGCTGCCTCCACCCGTTGTACGTCGACTTCCGCAGAGATCTAAAATGGAAGTGGATCCACCAGCCGAAAGGATACAAAGCCAATTTCTGTGCTGGGAACTGCCGCTACGTATGGAGCACAGACACGCAATACCACATGGTGAGATGGTGCTTTGCTTCGTCCCCCGAGAAGGGAAAAGGTTGCAGTTTGTTCATTACGAATGTGACATCCAACAAAATGTGACCAGGTACCCTTTCTCCTAATAGGCTTGCCTGCCTCCTAATAGGCTTGCCTTCCCCCTCTAGCTGGCTCCATTACATTTCCATGCATAGCCCCCTTTTTCAGCTGATAATATTCTGTGAGCACGTCCCATCACGGCTGAACCAATTCTTTGTTTGTTTGATGAAATTGGACGTGTTGCAGTTTTGAATTCTGTGTTAAATTCCTCTTGCTGCGCAGCAGAAGTGCCATCACGGCTGAACCAATTCTTTGTTTATTTGATGAAATTGGACGTGTTGCAGAGTTTTGAATTCTGCGTTAAATTCCTCTTACTGCGCAGCAGAGGTGCAGGGAATTCCCAGCGCAGAATACCTTCAAATAGTCCACCCCTTTTTCACATTTCCTGTCTCAATAACTCACTCCAAGATAGTAGTAGGAGAGAGAATGAAAGCTGCTTCCTTTACTTACGGTTGCAAACAGATTGAACAGCGAACCGACAAACCTGACAGCTTTCAGCGACAGACGTCGACCGACCGACTCTAGAGAGGGAAAAACGCTTGCAGAGAACTGGGGCTCTTTGAATTCAGAGGCAGAGAAGGAATGATTGGTTAACACTGGACAGATTGACAGTCACCCCCCAGCCCAGAAAGGCCCCTCCCAGCTTGAACCAGCAGCATGCGAGGTTGCAAAAACTCCCAACATGGAGGAGGAGGTTTGGTCTGTTTGTGGAGGGTTTGTCTGTAAATATGCAAACTTCAGGGGTCCCCTAACCATTCTGGAAACCTCCCTATCTTGTTTCTCAGGCGGCTTTTCTGAATTTCTCCATTCACCCCACCCTCCTGCAGGTACTGCCTTTGTACAATAAGCTGAACCCCGAGGCTTCGGCGGCCCCGTGCTGCGTCCCTCACGAGCTAGAGCCATTGACCATCCTCTACTACGTCGGACGGTTGCCCAAAGTCCAGCAACTCAGCAACATGGTCGTGAAGTCCTGCCGTTGTCGTTGAGAAGGCTGAGGGGAAGACCTCACGGCATCACCGCCCTGAGTTCCAGGCCAACCAGGGAAAGACCCTTACTCCGCCCACTAGAACAAGGCTCCACCCTCTTATTCTGGCCCAGCCTTCCGAAAAGAGGCTCCTCCTACTCGTTTTTAGCTCCACCCACATCCGAAAGACTCCTCCCTCTGGCCAGTTCTCGAATGAGCATCGTGCTGTCACCCGGAGAATACAAAAGCCACAGGCGGAGACTTTTCTAGGGATGAGATTTTCAGAGAGAGGGGCTTTTGACTACAAATCCACTGTTCCAGTGCTAGCTGGGCGCTTCCCTCCTGAACAGGAAGCTAAGCTTAGCTCAGCATCAAAGCATCCCTCCGTTTCTGGCCTTTCGCTCAGGGGCGCCCCATTTCGGTGTCTCTAAGGGGCCGCTCCGTTAGATACAACTCCCAGAATTAAGGATGGCGGGATTTGTAGTTTATTAAAAAAGAGCTGAAAATTCCACCTCTAGACTTCTCTCTGCTCCCAAGGGAGTGTGGGTGTCCCCAAATCGGGTCCTTGCCCTCAACAAAACTGGGTGCTTATATTTTCTAAAAACAAAGATACGCCTGGACTGAATGTTGCCTTGATGTTTTCTATCTCTCTGGCAAAGGGTCAGAGCAGCTGACTTTAAGTTTGCCGGGTATATTTAGAGATCTGTTTCGGAATATATTTTGCTTTTCTTCTAGAACTGCAGGTAGGGCGGTACGGTCCCCACAAAACGGAGAAAGCAGATGTAGAATTGTGGGGAAAGCTCCCTGAGAAGTTAATTTTCAGTACCAGAAACTGGCTGAAGGCCTTTCCTGGAAAAGCTACCTCTAATTCTCCCCAAGCTTCGTTGACCTTCAGCAAATTTATTATTGAATTTGTATGGGCAGAGGGTGCCCATGTGTGTTGTTACTATACAGATAGCTGGATAGCTCAGTGGGTTGGGTACCAGGTTGTGGAGCCAGAGGTTGGGAGTTCAAATCTCCACTGGGTCTCCAAGGAGAAGAACCAGCCTGGGTAGCCTTGGGCAAGCTGCACAGTCCCAGGGCTCCCCCTAGAGGAGGGAAGGGTAAACCGCTGCTGAGGATTCTTTACCTGGAAACCCCCCAAAAAGGGTCACCACCCCCCCAAAAAAAGGGTCACCATAAGCCAGAATTGACTAGACAACACATGATGATGATGATATTGATGATGATGATGTAGAATTGGGAGTTGGAAATCCTGGTTCTAGTGCAAATCATAGTAGACCCCTGTCTACCGTCTGCTGACCTCTGACGTGGGACCTTGAAGTTGGCAACTCCGTGATAAAATAAATGGCTCTCGGCGCATGGTCAGAGACGCTCTTCCCCCTTGTACTCCTTGTTCGTCTTGTGCCTGGGGCCCCTGCAAACGGATTCGGCACTGCTTCCCCAGCTCAAGGCGAGCCCCACACAGAGATCCACAATCGGTCCTATTTGTAATCCCGATCAGACTCCTGGGGTTGGTTTGTTTTTTTGAAAGAGGAAAACCTGGAGCCGTCCTTGGGAATAACAGAGTCATCTGTTCCCTTCTTCTTAATAAGGCCTGTTGAACCTCTGGCGGCGCGGGCCGCGAAGGCAAACAGACGGCAAAGTGGCCTGCCCCCGGCAGCAGGTTGCCGTACAAAGAATCCCTTGACGGGGGAAAAAGGGGAAACCGAGCCGAAGAAGAAGAAGCAGGTCTCTGTGTGTTTAGGTGTTACGCCGGGGAAGGAGTGGGGAGAGATAGGAAGGGCAGCAGACGGAGCAGGGTGGGAGCCTCCGCTCAGCGATGGGTAAATATTTGAGAACGGAGCCGTGCGGTTTCAGAGTCACAAATCGCCGATGGAGACACCGAAGCCTATCTTCCTGGCCTGCTGGCTTGGGGTCTTGAGCGGGCCCAGCGTTGGGCTGCTCCAGGGGGGCTCAAAAGAGGATCGGCCGCTCGAGGGATGTAACAAGACCTGGTTCCTTTCTCCGCTGAACCTCAGCCGGAGAGGATCTGGCAGGAGGAACGGCCGTTTGGAGAAGGGTTTCCCTCGCCCTAAAGTTTTCCACGCATTATTATTACAGTGGTGCCTCGCTAGACAGTTACCCCGCATGACAGTTTTTTCGATAGACATTGACTTTTAGCGATCGCTATAGCGATTCGCAAAACAGTGATTCCTATGGGGGAATTACGCTGGACAATGTTTGGTCCCTGCTTCGCAAACCGATTTCCGCTAGACGATGATTTTGACAGCTCCCTCCACGCTCGCAAAACGGGTGATTTCGGGACCTAAGCTTCGCAAGACAGTGATTTCAACAGCTGATCGGCAGTTCGCAAAGCGGCTTTCCTATGGCCGATCTTCGCTAGACAACGCCGATTCTTCCCCATTGGAACGAATTAAACAGGTTTCAATGCATTCCAATAGGGAAATACTTTCCGCTAGACAATGATTTCGCTAAACAGCGATTTCAGTGGAACGGATTATCGTTGTCTAGCGAGGCACCACAGTATTTTTTTTAACTTGGGGGAAAACAACAACAAACACATTAGCCCAAGGAAGCTACCACTTAGGTTGTCCGGCTAGGAAATGAATGAAGCTCGGGGGTCACCAGGGGCTTGCCTGTCCTGCCCAAACCCTTCCCAAGGGGCGTGTTAGGAAGCATTTTTTAAAAACATCCTTTCCTTCCTCAAAGAGTGACCCAGAAGCACAAGAGAGAGCTGAACAGTTGATGCTATGAGAATCAGAAGGCGTCAGCACTTCAGGAATCTCCTCTTCTAATAACTGGTCATCTATAATGTACAGTTCGGCCTTTAGCTGCTTTATCCCTCTTTACTCTCCACTCCAGCCAACGAAGAAGGGACTGGATGCATTTCATTAGAAGATCTATTTATTTATTTATTTATTTTGCAAAGCTGCAGCAGTTTCCGCACTAGGTTGGACAGTCTCTGAGGCGCAACACCTTCCTTTAAACCACCCCTCTTGCATGGAGCTGAAGATAAATCTTGTCCACCTGCTCCTCCATTTGTGTGGTGAGGGGATGATGCATTCCCAGTTTTTTCTGGTAATCTTGAGGTGGGTGGGAGAAATAGAGAATCACTATATATATATCACATTGCCTTTCTTTTCGGCTATACATTAGGAATGAGAATTTAGAGTACAAGCCTCCACGGGGGGGGGCTTGGATCCAATCCCCCAGAGATATGGGGGTCCTACAGCTAGCCTTTACAGTGGGGTCTCTACTTAAGAACTTAATCTGTATTGGAAGGTGGTTCTCAAGTTGAAAACTTCTTATGTTGAATCTGCATTTCCCATAGGAATGCATTGAAAACCATTTAATCCGTATCTGCTCTTTTCCGTCCATAGAAACTACAGTGGAACCTCTACTTAAGAACTTAATCCGTTTTGGAATGGTGTTCTTAAGTTGAAACGTTCTTAAGTTGAAGCAAAATTTCCCATAGGAATGGACTGAATACCAATTAATCCGTTCTGGCTGTTTTTTTGTTATGTAGAGGTGCGTTCGTCCATTGAAGCATTAGTTCCCATAGGAACTAATGCAAAGCTGGTTAATACGTACTCTACCACTAGGGGGAGAATTTTTTTTTTAACCTAAGATGACCTAAGGTTAAAAAAAGAGCAGGAAAGGTTTTTTTTCCTGTTCTTATCTTGGATTTCTGTTCTCAAGTAGAAGCAAAATTTAGCAAATGGAGCTGTTCTTAAGTTGGATTGTTCTTAAGTAGGGACGTTCTTAAGTAGAGACCCCACTGTATAGGACCGCGATGTTTTTGTCTTCCTTCATTTTAATTTTTCTGGCCCAACGGGCTCCCGACGGGCGATCCATCGCTCTAAGATGGAGGAACCTCCATCCTCAGAGATGGGGCAGCCCTGCCTGGCGAAGGAGGGAGCAGACTCGTTTTCCCGTCGCTCCTGAAAGTGGGACTCAAAAAGGATTCAGTTTGCAAGAAATAAACCTTTGGAGGGACTTCCTGATGGGAAGAGCCGGACAGCAATGGAACAGACTCCCTTGGAGGCGTCTATTCTTGCCTTGCTTGTTTTTGTGTGTGAATGGGATGAGCCTTGAGTCCCTTCCAATGCTAAGCCATGTGTGTGTGTTTATTCATTCACCTACCAATTTTCACTTCGCTAAATCAGAAGCCAAGGTGCGGGAAGAGAAGGAGTAATAGCACCAGGCAGGAAGGATTCACACGGATGGAATGAACCAACTCAGGAAATACCTCCAGTCGTGAACTGAAGCCTAGACCTCCAGGACCTCAGCATTCAGAGTTGTAACCCGGGTGGGGTGACTCAGGAGGCCAAGATTTAAGAGGTGCAGAACATTTACTGCTCTAGGGGCTCAGCTAGGCATGGAGATTTCCAGTCTCTTGGAGTTCTGGCCCAAAAAGGTCTCCTGGATTTCTCCCCCGAGCTCTCTGGGAACCCCAAAGCGTTGGTGGTCTCGGTGTTTCCTGAGAAGCACACTGTGTGGAGCATAAGAGGGAGAGAAGCTACCAGCCCATAAGGCCTTGCAGCTGCCATTGATCTTGTTCCCCACTCCGCCAGTCCTTCGGCTTTTATCATGTCCCAAAAAGCCACAAAAGGATTTGGTGTACGTGTGCTTTTTTGGCTAAGCCCCCCCTCCAGAAGTCTAGCTGGCCGAGTTCCTGGCCTAAAGTCCATGAATTCTGAAAAATCTCAGGCCTGCTGGCATTTGCTCCTGGAGGGACATGAACCCATCCACCCTGAGCGCATGTACTGCATCGAGCAGCTCCCCTCTGGATAGAAAGGTCTACGAAAGAAATATGGCCACTGCACACTCAGATGGGGGCCACTCCCCTCCAGGGTCTTCTCCGGGTACCTTCTGATCTTAGATGACCCAACAAAGTCCTAGGCACTCAAGTTACAGCTGTGTCGGAATCTTTTGTTTAGCGAACTTATTTACAGCAGGACCTGCTTATCCACGGGATCAGTCTCTGCTGATTCTACCTACGGTCTGAACATATTAAAAATATTTAAAGAACAATTCTAGAAATAGTGTACCGGATTTTTCGCACCATAAGACGTACTTTCCCCCCACAAAACAGGGTGGGTGGGAAGTCTGTGCATCTTATGGAGCGAAGAAAACAGATTATACTTTCCTGTTTTCTGCTCCTAAAAAATTGGTGCGTCTTATGGAGAGGTGCGTCTTATGGAGCGAAAAATATATATTTTTAAAGGTGAAATTATCAGAACTGGCCATTAGAGGGAGCCAGAGACCATGTGAGGCGCAGTGTTTGCTATTAAAATAGCATTCCCTATAATTCACATTTTTCAGCATCTGCAGGAGGGGTCTTGGGGACCCATCCCCCATGGATATGGGGGTCCCTACTCTATTGCTTTCATTTCTAGGCTGCCTTTCTAGGCAGGGACAATAATGCAGCCTGCCACTCCCCTTTGGGTTTTCCTGTTCATTCGAATCTTGGCTTGGCGTGAAATGCTTTTCCCCAGCCTCAATATATTGTTACAATCTCTCCCTGTTGTACTCCTCCATTGGGAAGGCTTGGTCTTCACTGGGCAGTTAAGACCCATTAGTCTGACAAAAGACCAGACAACAGCTTGGTTTGAAATGGTTTTAACCAGCCTCAATATATTGTTACAATCTCTTTCTGTTGTACAGCAAAGGACGTCGGGGAGGCTTGGTCTTCACTGGGCAATTAAGACCCATTAGTCTGACAAAAGACCAGCTCCTGACCAAGATGGAAGCTGCTAGAACTGGTTTGTTGTTATAACAACCTGCTGGCGGTCTGCCTTTTTAGATCCTCTTCCAGGAACCTGGATTTCACGGATACATGGTGGGGATCTAACATTTGGATGACAGCCTGTGATGGGCATCCTGCCATCCAAAACACAGATGTGGAAGAATGTATTTTTGTGAACACAGAAGACACACTGTCGCAGCTCAGAAATATGTAAGCAATCTCTTTCCCCACTGATGATGCTTACCCTTATAGGTGTCCATCAAAATGGCCAGCACCTCTTCCTCAATCTTTTCCTGGAGAGGCAGTGGTACCTAAGGAGTAGACAGGCAAGATATTAGGAAAAGAAGCTCAAACATCTTCAGAACGTCTCCACTGTCACAAGAATCAAACATTGCAGAATTCTGAATATAAATCTTTCAGCCACTGTAATCTATGGAGGAGATCCATGGACTCAGCTGCTGAATATTACATCAAGACTGATCCCAGTTGGAGTAGACCCATGAGCACAATGGGTCTACTCCAATTGGGATTAGGAATCGCATCCAGGTCTCCCCCTTGTTGAGATTCAATCCTTTTTTAATTTGTCCACCCCAATATTCAGGATTTCTTATATCTCGGACTTGGAGAAGAAGTCTTCAATTCTGGCTTTGCTCTCCTAAGAGGGATTCCTTGTTTATCATCTATGTAGCAGCAGTTCCCAACCCAGAGGCTCTGGGACAACGATTCCCAGAAGCCCTTTCACCATAAACTCCGCTGGCCCAGGATTTCTGGGAGTCGTAGTCCAAGAACATCTGGAGACCTCAGCTTGGGAACGACAGATCTTTGAGGTGTGATCTGATGGCACCAGAGAGGATCGCTTTAATGGCAGCCAACGTTGTTAAAAGCAACCCTCCCCTCTTTCCGGTATGGCTCCAGAAAGTAGAAGCCTTACAGCTGGATTAAAAAGACTCGACCTCATGACAGATTGTGGTCGGATTGGAACGCATCGCCCCGTGCATCATGTGATCACCGGGAAATGGGGTGCATTAGACCGCTTCGTAGGGGGTCCAGATTGTGATCTGTTCCTCCCTGAGATCACTCTCTAGGCTCCAGGGGGGTTAATCATCAGGACAGGGCAGAAATCCAGGGCCCGAAGTAACAAAAGGAGCAAGAGGTGGGCCCCTAAATGCTACAACATCATAACCAAGGATGGAGACTCTCAAATCTTGGGATTTGCTGTCAAGTCAGACTGACCTGACTCCGATTCAGCTTGTGGTTTTTTTTTTTTAAATTCAAGGAC